CCTCCCGCCCACGCCTAGCTCCACGAACCCTCAAAGTCCGCAACCTGTAAACCGAGAAACCTTACATGACCCAGCAACTTCAATTTCGATCCACTCAAGCAGGAATATCACCCACGGTTGGCAGCCAGCCAAATCAGGCTGAGAGATGGCAGCTAGGACGCATCAGATCTCCGCATCCGTAGGAGGGTGGGCGTAGGAGCATTGGTTCCGGATGTTTCTGGATGCCTTGAAATTTGTCTGTGTGGGTTGGTACGTTCTGCTTTCGATTCCTTTCGAACCAGGCAAACTGCATATCAAGTGCAGCCAACCTCCTACCCCATGGCGCTGAGGCGCCACCCAGAAATTTCAGCTTTCCAGCTTTTCTGGTTCCAAAGTTAGCAGTTTTCCCGCCAAAACTTCCACATGCTGGTATGCAGGACATAGATATACGTAAAGACCGGTACTACGTTCCTCGGGTGGCGCTTGGCCAGGGAATCCACTGGCAGTACTTCAGCTTTAAACCTTGGCTGCTGAGCTGAAATACGCGAATGGACGGGCGGACACAAACATACACACACATACAATGGGTTGTCATTACATGCATTTTTGTGCGTTTTTTGGATCTATGCAACGCAAACCCAGGCTGGAACGCACCGGGCGGGCCCGTACGATCATGCGTTTTTGCACCCGACTTGAATTACTCAGGTCATTAACTGTATGGATGGCTGTTGCTTTACACTTCCCTTTTGCGATCACCGGCATAAATCACTATAAATTTTGCAAAATAAATATATAATTTCCATTTAACACTCGCTCTTTAAAAGCAACCTAGTTGTTCAGTGAGAAATTTTTGCATCAAGACTTTCAAGCGCTCGTACGTAAGAACCACGAATATCTCGATGCTGAATTTGAAATATTTAAGTTGTACTTGGACAGAGAACATTCTCTCAAAATTTCAGCCTTCTAGCTTTTCTGGTTACCGAGTTAGCAGTTTTCCCGCTAAAACTCTCACACACCCGTACTTGGATACCCCACGTGCTTGGA